ACAAAAAGTCTGAGAAAAGCTGTCTTCTTTTGCTCTCTGCCACTGGCTTCTTCACAGTGCAAGCTTAAAGCAGGAGGGTGTGGCAGGGAATGTCCCAATAACACCAGTGCAAAACACAGCAGCTAGAAGTCTGAGATAAGCAGTTCTTTGCCCTCAATCTCTGTCTCCCTCTGTCTCTGTCTCTCTCATTGCCACTGGCTCCTGTACCTTGGAGGATTAAGGCTGAGGAACATGGGAGAAAGTAGGATTCAGAGCACATCAGCCCAGGCAGTCAGCAACAAGAAGTCTGAGACATTTCCTTTTGCACTCACTCTTTTCTTGCCACTGCGAGGGGGTTGGGGTTTGATGGAGGGGCTTGGGAGTGAAGGAGATTTCAAAGCACACCTACAGGGAGACAAAAGACTGCAAGCAAGAAGTCTGAGATGTCAGGTCCTTATGCTTTCTCTATCTTCCACTGCCATTGGCTCCTTCACCTTGGGGGCTTATGGCAGAGGGGTGCAGGGGAGGGTAGGGAGAGGAGGATCCAAAGTGCAACTGCACAGGCAAATGCAGCAGTAAGATTTCTGAGATGCATGGTCCTTCTGTTTGTGCTCTCTCTGTCTCTCTCTCTCTGTCTCTCTTTCTCTCTCAGTGCAGCTGGCTTCTGGACTGGGAGCTGGGGAGCATAAAGCAGAGGGGTGTAGAGCCAGGAAAGGGTTCAGAGATTACCTGGGCAGGCAAAAGGCAGCAGTAAGAAATCTAAGATGGAGATGCAAGGCCCTTTTGTGCCCTCCCCTGCCACTGTCACTGACAACCTGCACCATGTTGGTATATGGCATAGGGATTTGTAGGGGGAGAATCCAAAGCTCATCTGTGTATGCAAAAGGCAGCGGCTACAAGTTGGAGATGTGCAGTCCTTCTTCACTCACTCTGTCTCACTGTCACTGACTCCTGCATCATAGAGGATTATGGTAGAGAGGCTGGGTGGTGGGGGAGGTTCCAAAACACATCTGGGCTTTCAAAACACAGAGACAAGTCTGAGACAAATTCTTCTGCACATTCTCTTTCTGTCTCTCTCATTGCCCCTGGTTCCTGCACCTTGGAGGATTAAAATGGAGTGGCAGAGAGGGGAAGGTTCCAATACAAATCTGTCTGGGCAAAAGGCAGCAGGAAGAAGTCAGGCGCTCACTCACTCTCTTTCACCATCTCTGGCTCTGCCCAGTGGGGGCTTAAGGAAGAGGAGCATGGGGGAGGTATGTGGGTCCAAAGCACACCAGTGTAAAAGGCAGCAGCAAGAAGTCTGAGGTGTACTGTCCTTCTGTGCTCACTCTCTTTGTCTGGTATTACTGCTATTGGCTTCTGCACCATGAGGATTTAAGGCCAAAAGGTTAAAGGATGGGAAGGGTCCAAAGCACACCAGTGCAAAAGACAGTGGCAGAAAGCCTGAGAAGTGTGGTCTGTCTTTTCTCTCTCTCTCTTTCTCTCTCTCACACTGTCTTTTTCTCTCTCACTGCAGCATGGGCTTCCATGCCATGGGTGGCTTATGGGAGAGGAGAGGCCAAAGGACACCTGTGTGGGCTAAAAGGCAGCAGCAGGAAATCTGAGATGTGTGAATTTCTGCATTCATTCTCTGTTTCTCTGTGTCTCTTGCTTTGGGCTCCTATTCCTATGGCAGAGAGTTGCATAGTAGGGGCAGGTAAAAAGTCTGAGCAAGACATCTTAGCGGCATGGTTCTTTTGTGATCACTCTCTGTGGCTGCTAAGGTACCTGCACCATGGTAGCCTATGGCTGAGTGAGGTGGGGAGAGGTTCCATTGTATACCTGGGCAGTGGTTGGGAGCTGGGGGAGGAAAATCAGCATCAAGAAGTCCAAGATGCACTGCTTTCTGCCTTCCTTCTCACTGCCACTTGGTCCTCCACTGTGGTGGCTTATGGTGAAAGGGCACGGTAAAGTGAGGTAAGGGAAGTACAAAGGACACCTCTGTGGGCAAAAGGCAGAGCTGCAATATGTCTAAGACATGTGGTTCTTCTATGCCCACTCTTTCTCATTGCCCCTGGGTTTGCACCTTGGGAATTATGATGAAGAGTGTGGTGGTGGTGGGGGGGGGTGG